CCAGGCACTCTGGGGTGTATCACTCTTGTTGGACATGTACAAGCTGATGACAAAGTAGATACAGCATGCTTAGAAAGTATCACATTTATTGTGTATGTTATGTACCATGAATTTGCATCGTGCACCCTGAAAAAGGTCAGGTTCATCATGTCCTTGAAATGGGTTGAGGAAGCACACATACATGAGCCCCACAGTAAACAGCAGTGGACAGGCCTTGGATTTCCTGATGGTTTGTGCCCAATTTGCAGAATATCTGCAAGTCCTGGGCAAATAGTGAGACTTCCCAGATTCTCACTGGATGAGAGAACACACACAGGGCAAAGGGAAGGAGCCACGGCACAAGACTTTGGCTACTTTTCAGGCAGGAGAGGGGGGCCAACATGGCTGTGCCAGACATCTTATAAGGTGCTTTTTGTGTATCAAAGACTGCACTGCAGTTTAGAGATGTCTAAGCTAGCTGTGGCAGTAGTAGCACAGCACAGGGTGTCTACATTTGCAAGTACTGCAGCCTGACAGGAGTGAATCCGTAGAGCGAACAGTGCTGAGGACCTAAAGTCTGCAGTGTACCTATTTCATGATGAGTTAGTTTTAATTCAGACTAGCTCTCTTTCAATCCCAGTTGGAAGCTGCAGTCCACTGAGTCTGCTCCTGGAGGAGTTCTTTGAGGTTAGCTCAAACTGGATTCAGTTTGCACGGTACAGGATCCCTTCACAAAAAGAAAAGAGCACCATAAGGGGAAACAATCAGGAGGTTCACTTCAGCTATGTACTCCTCATCCAGACCAGAGCACTAAAGTAGGTGTCCCAGAGAGGTCAGCATGAACTGATTTAGCCAGCCAAGAACTTGGATTTGCTGGTCTATGCAGATGTCCGTGCTGGCACAGCAGAACTGCTGGTGGTGTCTGAGCTTGTCAGCTCAATTCTCTCCACAGCACAGTGCAGGATTTAGTCAAGATCAAGAATGATTTCAGCAACATAAAGAGTCCAAATATTGGGGAAAAGACAAAATGTTTAGAGCTGTTATCTTACTGTGTGCTGGTATTGAATGTTGCTGACAAAAACTGATTAAACTGCAAAAACCTTGGGCTGATGGTTTCAAAAGCAGTATTTGTCTTGGTGTCATCATTTTGAGTTACAAGGCAAAAGAACGTAAGAAAGACAAACTGAGAAGTTATTTTTAAAGATTTTGGCACAAAAGGCTTGCCCAGGCCCAGACAGGGGGTCATGGGCAGAAACATACACAGTGTCTAACAGGCAATGATCCAGGATTTTGAAATCATGCAGAGAGAACTAGAGCAGTAAAGAGCATTTATGCCTTTAGCAAAATAGAAATAGAATTAGCTATTCACAATAGCCAGGCTGATTACTCTTCTTGTCTGAGTAAAATCAGGCTTCAAAATTTGTAACTGAAACCGCTGAAGATTTCTCCACTTTACATTTTAAATTGCCTTTTTTTTTCATAGTTTGGATAAAGTAATTTATTTCTAGAAAAACACAGAAACCTATTTACATTTTAAAAATATTCAAATAACTAAATGTTAATGGAAGCATATGTCCCAGGAGAGAAGACAATGCAGATACAGCTGAAATCAAAAACATTTCATCAATGATTTTTGTACAGGTGATATTGAAAGCAAAAGCATTGACATTATTGACATACAGCCATATGGGAAATGACAAAAGCTATTGCAGAAAAGTATTTGTCAATGCAATATCTTCTGAGTTGCACAAATGCAGTAGTGTGGCACACCCTGCAGTAAAGAGCTCTGGAGTCTGGAAGATGGCAGGCAAATTTAACAACAGGGTTTTGAGATGGGGGCAGAATCCCATGTCACAGTTCACTGAAGTTACAAACACACATTAACCATCTTGTCTGCTGAAATGTATTTATCCATTTCCATACATAGCAGGCAAACTCATATTGCTGTCTATTCACATTTCTAAATGGGTATTTGTTTATTTATTGCTGTTTTTTAAAGCAGATAGAAATTAATGTCATCTTTGCATAAAAAATTGTTGAGGTTTAGATTATAATCTCTGAAGGAATGTTTTTTTAACCCAGATTTTGTGCTATTTCTCTTAATCATCCATATATAGATGTGCTTGTACTGTTCTGGCTCAGGTAAGGTTTTTCTGTGACTTACACAGAATGGTTGGATCAGCTTTTAAATGCAATAACTTAATTTGTTCCTGCAATTCATCTTAGGTAGCCTTCAGATTTGAACAAAACAACATGACTCAGGATATTTGAAATAATCGCTGTGATGAAATACTGGGTGAGAGGAATGCAGCCTGCTGCCCTGCAGATGAATTCTGCCAAGCAGCTAACAAATCCCAACCAGTCCGAGTATCTTGCAATCTTAAATATTCTGCCAAGACTAAAGAATAGAGGAGAAGTTTAGCCCTAAAACACAGTATTCCCACAGTGATAGTAACAGGCATTGAGTTTGCAGGGCCTCGGGAACTGAGGTTTGCCAGGTTTGCTCTTTTTAAACTTTTCTTGACCTCCCTCAATTTTGTTTTACATGGCTTATCTCTAACAGCAGCTTTTCTAATTGAAATGAGAATTAGTTTGGTTGTATTATGGAACTGGAGACCAGTGAAAAAAGAGTCAGAGGTAAAAGCATATTAGCAAACATATAAAACTGAATCAGGCAGATCCTAGAGGGAAGAAGAAGAAGCCATTAACATGAAAATCATAGTCCCTGAAATGACCAATTCCAGGTGCTACAGCTCACCATAACATCAGAATGAAACCACCAACTCTGGGACCTAGCAGAGCAGGAGAAAGATGAGGATAACATCCAGAAAAGGAGTAAAAACTAGGAAGTGTATATAAGTTTTAACTGTAATGTTATTAATACTGATTTTTTCTCTGTTTAGACATCTTTCTTTTTCTGCTATCATTACATCTGCTCCAGTAATGATTCTTATATTAGACTGTTAACATTCAGTTGTAATAATTACAAATTCTTGGGTTTATATATATATATATATGAGGGGTGTGTCCTCTGCCCATAAACAAGTGTAACAATAGGCAGACGTCTACATCAAAAAACATTGTTTCTACATGCTTTCTGGGATAAACTTTCAAAGAATCACTAAAAAGGAGCATAATTTTTATATGTATTTCTGTATTCAACTGTTCTGACAAATTATTGTACCTAAATATGAAAACAGAAAAGTCACAGGAGACCACGTGCAACTGAAAATATGTGCAATTTCAGATTTTGTGGGGATATTAAGAAAAGCCCTTTAAATTTTCCCCCCAACACCCAAGATAAATACAGACCCAAAAAAAAACTATTTTGCTTTCATCTCCTTTTTTGTTGTTCTTCGAAAGAACTCTTTGGGGTTTTTTTGGTCATGAAATTTAATATTTGGGCTGATGAAAGTAAAAAGTTTGGCATGTTATTCACAAAAGATTGAATAAACACAGGGATTTTCCAAGGGTGAGGTAGGGAGTGTTACCAATCAGTAGTATTTTCCTCTTTCAGTGGACAGTCATCACTGTGCAACTGGATCAGAGCAAGGATGACTCTCAGCTCTGCAATCTGCTGAATTTATTCGGTATTTTTAAGTTTAAGAAGAAATCTGAGTGATCATATGATCTCTGTAATTAAGGTTCACACCAGGCCATGCATTCTGAGATGAGCTGGTGCTATTAGCAGATTTCATCTGCCTGCCTCCCGTTTGTTTTACTGTATGCACAGATGCACAGATGAACATTGCCTCAGGAAAAAGATCTGCAGAAACCCCTTCACTTGCAGATTTGTAGAATAAGCTATTTGGATCTCAGCACAAGTATTTTCTCTCAATGCACATGCATAATTTTCTCGTGAATGGGATTTATGGGTGCACATCAAAAGAGGATAATCCCTAAGGGCTCAGTTTAAACCAACAATAGCAAAGAAATTCAGGAATCTCTCACCAGAGCATGCCCTGCTTTGCCTACTTTGCTTTGCCTATATCACGAAGACTTTGAATGAAATCTCTGGCAGCCAGGCAAAACAGGACATGAATTGGCTTTATGACTGTTCATTTTTAAAGGCATACAATTAAGCCCTTAGGAATTTACTGGCTTCCTAATGAGAGGAAATCAGCTGTGGGAGATAGTGTTGGTGACAGCTGGATGCGGGCAAGGTGAAGGAACGCTGACCCCCACCACAGGTTTGGGTGGCAGCACTGTGGCTGTACTCACAAAAGTGAGCACTCTTAACAGGTTTTGCTTAGATATGAAGGGCAGAGGCTGTGAAATACAAAAGTGGTGCTATGCAGGTGGCATTAGCACCGTGATGAGGATAGGGCTGGGGTGAGGGTGCTTGGAGTTTGGACCATTTCAGTGCTATTCCTGAGCTACAGAGGCCTGATCCATAGGTCTAAACCAGAGGCTGTGGTGTGGGTCCCCCACCCTGGGGGCTGGCTTCCCAGCATGCTGCTGGAGCAGGGGCCCACTTTGAATAATACTAATATAACACTTGTATAATAAGTTATAATACTTGTTGTTATTATAACTAACAACAACAACAATAGAAAAATAATAACTATGCAACCCAAAATATCAATAAAATGTAATTTTCTGTAATTATATAAAACTGCATGCTGATATAATTAGTATGTCTTCGAGTGTAACTGATTCTATTATAATCCAATATAATCCATTCTGCTAAATAATAATAAAAAGAAGAAGCACAACAACGATGATAATAATGACAATAATTACAATAATGACAATGACAATGACAATAATAATAATAATAATAATAATAAATAATAATAATAATAATAATAAAAAGATACTCCCTTCCCGCCCCAAAAAGAACCTTCAAAGAGCAATAGTAGCCAGCACCCCATGAGCACAAAGTGCTGCGGGAGGCGGGAGGGAGGCGCCGGCCCCGCGCCCCGCCCCGGCCCCGCGCAGCCCGGGCGCGGAGCGGTGCGGGCCGGGCTGCGCGGGCGGGCGCGGCGCGGCGCGGAGCGGGGCGGAGGCGGAGCGCTGCGATGTGCAGGATGTCGTTCAAGGTGAGCCGGGCGCCTCAAGGGGAGAGGGGCGGGGGGATGCGCCTTTGGGTTCCCGCTTTGCGCTTGTCATGCCGGCAGCCCGTGGAACGCTCTGTCGTATCCGTGATTTGGGGATTGATTTGTTTTATTTTTTTTTAGGAAAAACCAGGGTGGTGTAGGGAGGAAGGAAAGAAAGCAGTAACGTCCTTCCCGGGCTTTGGGGTGCCCCGGGAGTACTGCGGTGGCGGCTGATGGAGCGGGCGCTTTTCACAGCTGACAGCCCCAAAAGGGTGCGTGCCTTGTGTTACATAAACTGCGAGCCTCCGTGGAGCTTCACTCTGGCTCGGGGGTGGCCGGGCTCTGTGCTCTGGGTTTTGGTGCAGTCAGGAGCCTCCTCCTCACTTTTGCGACCATCTCTGCTGGTGCTGGTTGTGTAATAGTTAGGAGGCAGTCTTTATCCGTGCTCTTCCTTTCAGGCTGTGGTGGCCACTGAAGCCACACTGGTTCGTTCCCTTTGCCAGCTGTGATTCCCGTCACTTTTTGTACTTCTTCCATCCAAACCCACGCAAGAGCAGTCATTTCAAATGATTGCCGTAAAGAAGTTTTTTAATGTAAGGAGAGGATTAATAAGGTTATTTGGCAAAGAGGGAAGCAAGCAGCAATTTACTAATGATGTTAACAGATAATATTTATGATGGATGTACATCTTCTCTGTTATGCACTTTCGGGATGCTGTGCTTGCCCTTCTCTTATTGATCAGCAGCTCAGTGCCAGTCCTTTGCCATATTGCTTGTGTTGCATTTTTTGATTTGATGGATTATTCCCTGTACTTGCCTCTCTCCTGTCAGGATATCTCCCCCCTGGAATGCTGGTGCTTCGATGTCACCGTGTCTGTTCAGTGGTGGTGCAGCAGGTGGTTCCCATGGAGGCAGCAGAGAACCTTTGCTCCAGGGGTAGCTCAGTCTTACACTAGGTGGTGAAATCATGGAATGCATTGGGTTGGAAGGGATCTTAAAGATCATCATGTTCCATCCCTCTGCCATAAGCAGGGATACTTTCTACTAGACCAGGCAGCCCCTTCCAGCCTGACAATGGACACTTCTAGGGATGGGGCATCCACAGCTCCTCTGGGCAACCTGTTCCAGTGCTCACCACCTTCACAGTAAAGAATCTCTTCCAAATATCCACCCTAAACCTACCCCCTTCCAGTTTAAAGGCCATTTGTCCTTGTCCTATCCCCACACGGCCACCCTAAACCTACCCCCTTCCAGTTTAAAGCCATTTGTCCTTGTCCTATCCCCACATGCCCTTGTAAAAAGTCCCTCTCCTCTTGCAGGTCCCGTTCAGCCAGTGGAAGGTTGCTCTAAGGTCTCCTCAGAGCCTTCTCTTCTCCAGGCTAAACAACCTCAATTCCCTCAGCCTGTCTTCATAGGAAAGGTGCTTTCTCATGATCATCTTCATGGCCTTCTTCTGGATTTGCTCCACCAGGTCCACATCCTTATGTTGGGGGCCCCAGAGCTGAACATAGTACTCCAGGTGTGGTCTTACCAGAGCAGAATTGAGGGAGAGAATCACTTTCCTCATCCTGCTGGTCTTGATTCTTTTGATGTAGCCCAGGATACACTTGGCTTTCTGGACTGCAGTCTCTGTGGTCATCCCCTTTTTGGTCCTGCATTGGTCTCACACCTCTTTTCTTTTTTTTTTTTCCAGTTTTTCTGTCCCTTCATTCTGAGTTTTTTCCCACCTTCATTACTCACCTTTTTTTTTTTTTTTTTTTTTTTTCCCCAGTTTTTCTGTCCCTTCATTCTGCCTGAGTTTTTTCCCACCTTCATTACTCACAAGCATCCACCCTAATAGCCCCATGTTCCTGGTGATGCCAGCTCCTTTTTCTTTCTTATCCTCTTTTGGCCTCCTTGTTTCTTTAACTTGTTCTTCAGGTCTTAGTTTCTGTTCTATCCCTATCAGCTCCTTCTCTGTGCCCTGTTTCTCACATTGTATTCCCTCAAGTTTTCCTGTTCAAAGTAGCTCACTGCTTTCCCTTCCCTCTGAAGAACTGCAGACCATACCTCCCTCTCTCTGTTTTCTCTCCCTTTCCTGTGACATTTTTTTGGCATTTTCTCTTTCTCTCAGATCATGAACTTAACTTGGATTCTTACTATTTGCCACAGGCTGTTCACATTTTCCATCTTATTATCCTACTTAGCCATGGCATAGCATTTATCTTTCTTTCTCACACAAATGTCCTCTCTTCTGCCACATTTTGCCTGACTAAACAACATTTATATATTGAATCACCTTTCCTTTTTATCAGGATCCTTCATGGAGGATATATTGCTATCTAATAGAGAACTCTGCTCCTAAGTTGCACTAGCCTTTTCCATCATGCTTGATCCTGATTTCCAGTTCTTCTTCTTCTTTAAACTTTTTACTCAGAAACAACATTTATATATTGAATCACCTTTCCTTTTTATCAGGATCCTTCATGGAGGATATATTGCTATCTAATAGAGAACTCTGCTCCTAAGTTGCACTAGCCTTTTCCATCATGCTTGATCCTGATTTCCAGTTCTTCTTTAAACTTTTTACTCAATTCCTCCTTCCCATTAGGACTGGTTTGGAAACTAAGAAAGAAAAAGGAAATTTCTTGCATTTTGCCAGCACAAGGAACAAGGCAATGGGTGGACTAGTGTTCTTTCTCCTTTCTTGGTTTGGAAACTAAGAAAGAAAAAGGAAATTTCTTGCATTTTGCCAGCACAAGCCAGTGGGTGGACTAGCGTTCTCTTTCTCCTTTCTTTTCTTTCTCTTTGTCTATTGCCCCTTTTCTTTCCCTGTTTAAGAACTGCACTCTTCCTCCTCAGCAGTCACCCCACTGTCACCTGCGCTTTCTCTGCAAACAGCAAATTAAAGGTAGGGCAGGGAGCAGGAGCTGGTGGTCACAGCATTTAAATTATATTTTCCCCCTCAATATTCCTGAAATGACACAGATACCTTAGCACAATTCTTTTTTTTTTTTTCTGTATCCCTGCAGAGAAATGGTTTTGTCAGATTTATAATATATATTTTCCTCTAGACCATTTTTGAAAAAGTGTTTTTTCCAATGTCAATACAGCATGAATATAATGCCAGCTTTTCATCTTTGGGCTCTCATAAAAGCATACAACCAATCAAAATTATTAGCACAGCCAGATTTTAAAATAAAATTTTAGAGAACTTGATGAAGTGAAGGAACTTCTATCCTGAATGTTGCTGATGCTTGCACAAGTGACATAATGAAACAAGCAATTTTCATGAAAGTTATTAGCTAATAATTTTCAAATGTTTATTACATTGTGCTTCCAGACTGTCAGTGCTGAGGATCAGTTGTTTACTTTGAGGATGCTTTGGGAGCAGACTAGCTTTATGATAGGAATTACATAAAAATTTTGTCTGATTAATCTTTTGAAATTCAACATTACCTCTCCCTAGGAAGTATCTGATGAGACATGACTGAGTTCACAACCGAACAACAGCAGTCACATCCTGCAGCTACAAACCCATTTATTGCTAAAAATAATTAAATTAATTGGAATATTAACCCCAAAGTGCTGTCTTACATTTTGCCTACCAGTGCTGTCAGTATTGCTGATGAAAATGAAGATCACAGAGATATAGATCCAGAGATATAAACTGCCACACAGTACACAATGAGGCTGTACTTGACAGGTGCCCAGATCATCTGAATTATTTTGCATTTTCATTCATCTTAACACATACAATAGCTCAGATTTGCATCTGATTTTTTTTAATACAATCACTGGATGGTTGATGGTCTGAGTGTGCAGTATATTCTACTTTTATACAAGGGATCCCAAGCAACACGGAGGCACAAGGAGAATTAAAAGTGCTTAATAGGAGTCGGAAAAAACTTTGGTTTTTGTCCTTGGTGCACTGAAGAATTCTTCCATTCCTTGAGTCTGATCCAAAGTATAAGGACAACTCTGCTGGAGGGCTACTGTAGGACTTAGAGGAGAGAAGAAAGAGGTAGGAATTTATGACTCATAAAGCCAAAGACTTTGAATTTCTCCATCCAGGGTCACACTGGACATTTAGTTCTCTTCTCATGTGAACTGGTGAGAGCAGGTAAGGATTTCCTGGATATGGATTCTAGGTCACCTGTCCAGTGAAAGTGGGGGTGTATGAAGAGCCATAATAAAATTCAGTCTGCTACTGTGCCCTTGTAGTTAAAACTGGAGTGGATTAAATAAATATTTCCCTTTATGGATGTATTGCCATACCTCTAAATCTTCTAAAACTTTAAGGCATAGTTTGGGACAATAAAAGGTAAAGAATTTGATTGTCCGTTTTGTAAAGACTAAACATAATTCTTTTGCAATAGCTTTCCAGTGAATATCATAATAACAAAGTCAACAAGACAATATTCCTGCCAGCTTTTTAAATAAATGTCTATCTAATAAATCAGTGCAGAAAGGGCAACATGAGCCCTGTGTGTTTAGGTCAATTGTTTGCTTTTACATGAAATATTAGTGGTTCTAAGGGCAAAGATAGGAAGACACTACAGTGTTGCCAGCAAGGAGAGTATAAACTGCTGTCTCTACCTTAATCAACATTATCTACACATTCTCCAGGGAAATGCAACAGCTGTGAAAAGAAGATCAGAATTTCGCTTATTGTGCTTGCTAAAATTTTCAGACTCCTGCCCCTGCAAGTGCTGGTACAAGAAATAGCACTATCAATTTATAGGAAGTGACTTATAGTTTATTGAATGGTTGGAACATCTCTCATCTGAAACAGCTGCCAATTTTCCAACCTATTAATATTAAAAATGGAACCCATGGAAAGTGCTCAGTGTGACAGACCTGTGATAGATTCAGATTCATGATTCATGTGTCTGCTGGTTTCTGCAAAGTTTATTGTCTTCATGTCAGTGAAGGAAGCAATTTAAACTGTGCTGTATTTGTGCATTTTAATTATAAAGCATAAAACTATTGAATCCTGATTCCCTGCCACATTACATGTGTGCATTGACATTTAGACAAGAAGTGCCTGTGTAATTTCTCAAGCTGGATTATTGACTTTAATATCCACTCTGCACTCTCTCTGGGTTATCCTGAAGTCAGGGTTCACTGCAAAGCAATGCCCCTGGGTATTTTTGACTCTGCTTTGGTGTGACTATTGGTGGAGTGATGTTTTACACCTCTGTAGGTGGTTTGGGCCCTTATTAAAAAAATCAACAGCATGAGCCTGCTCTAGGATACATATCATTGCCATCATGGTGTTTCCCCCACACTTCATCCCGGACAGAGCTTACCTGTCAAGGCAGAATACTGGCAGCTGTCTGCATCGATTAGGTAAAGAGGGTGGGAGCAAAGGCCATGTCTTTTCATTCTGCCCTTTTCCTGTGCTGGAGCAGTCATCATTCACTCCTGCCCAGGAGATATTGCACATGCCCACAGTCCCAGGGTGTTAATTCCAGGCAGGAGGCTGAACAAGCAGTCTGGAAGATGCATGAGCAATACTTTTCCTGTATTGGAACGTTGTGTGCAGAAAAGAAGGAGATGACAGAGAGCTAATCTGAAAACCAAGAGGATGTCCTGCAGCAGGACATGTCAGCAGGATGCTTCAGCCTAAGTATGGCCAGCCCCACCATAGAAGCAGACAATACAGGCATCACTGGGCATGTTGTTTTCTGTGCTGTTTCCCTGTGGATCTGGATCATCATCATTTCTTATTACAGAGCAATCTAAGAGACTGCCATGGACACAAGGAAGACTTGAAATAACATGAGGAAGCACAGGAAGACTGGTCTCTTTAATTGCAAAAAAAAATTAAATTAGCTTCCTTTCCATGCTCTGGGAGTTTGAAAAAACAGCACATTAAGCTGAAACTTTCCTGTCTTGAATGCAGAATGTATGCAATGTGTGTGCTTGCCCAGTGTAATTCCCAAAGTGATTTATTTCTGCTTTCTTTTTTTTTTTTTTCTTTTCCTTTTTTCCACCAGAAAGAAACACCACTTGCCAATGCTGCATTTTGGGCTGCAAGAAAAGGAAACCTGGCTCTCCTCCAACTGCTGCTGAACAGTGGGCGAGTAGATGTGGACTGCAAAGACAGCGTATGCACACAATGCACCTACAGCCACAGCACTCATTTTGCATCACTTTCCATAGCCCACCATGCAGAGGGTGTAGTAGGGATCTAACATGAAACATATGAATGTCTTATGGTACTTCAGGATGATTGAAAACCTTCTCCTGTCAGTAATCAAGCAAGATAAAATAGATAAAATAGTGTGATGATTTACATCAGTGGCAAGGGGTTAAGAATTTGCCAGCACTCAAAAATGTGTCTTACACAGTTATTTGTGGTGCTGACATTAAAAACACACATCCCTAGCACCTCAGGCTTCTCTTTGCAAAGAAATGTCATTGTAGTAATAGATCACAGCAAAGAGTTGGCTGAATTGAGCCCAGGTAGCAATGATTCCGTCAGCTAACAGACCTCCTCATAATTAGAACAACTGCTGGCCTCCTAAATTCTTCCTCTCCACCCAATCTCTGGACTGGGCACCAACATGAAGGCACAAGATTGCCAAGCAAGAGGAGCCCAGACACATTCCTTACTGTGACTGACATGGGTTGAAATTAGTTTTGAGCTTGGAAATGGGTTGATAACACAGATAATGAGCAGGTCTTTCTATCCTGCCTACAGTGCATGGTGAGGTACTTGATTGTGCTAATCTGAGCCAAAGAGCAAGGTGAAAAGGAGGGTGAGAAGTTCCAGGTTTCTTTTGTTTGGCATTGGGACTGACTGACACAGAGTCATGCTGGTGTTGGTAAGGATTAATGCCACTTCCAACCAAAACATGAACTTGCCACAGCTTCTCTCACTTTGAATACCTTCAAAGTGTAAGAGATTTTCTAAGCCCATTGACTTTAACGTATCTGCTCATTTTCATTCCATTTTTGCCCTGTAGGCAAGTCTTTGTCCTACAGTACTTCTGGAGCTGGTGCTATGACTGTCCTTCTGACAAGAGAGGGAAGGTTGTTCAAATAGAGGCTTGTAGTAAAAAGGACAGAGATCAGTAAGAAAAAATAAAGCCACTACTGTTCATTTTTTCTCAAAAAAAGGCTAACTTTGGACAAGAAATTTCACACTGCATTGTATTAATGATTGTATCAGACATACACATTTTCTAGACTAAATTATTTTTTTACAATTAAGACCTCATGTTTGTTTTTTGTAATGTCACCCATTCCTTCTTTAAGTGTGAATGGTTTTGAAGGATGTGTTTCATCCTTATGCACGTGGTTTCTTCATATTGTCCATACACTGCATATATAAAAATCTTACTTCTTTCCCTGGAAGTGACCTTATAGTGTACTGAGGGAGCTGAACACAGATTTCTGTACAGAAAGTTCTCTCTTATAATGTGAAGAGTCACTGAGTGAGTTTGCTCTCATTATTTGGATAGGGAATTACTGTTCAAACCACCCAGCCCCTTCTCCTGACTATGACTCAGAATTCTAAGTGACTCAGCTGAGTCACTCATCTCCTGTGTCTGAGGTTATTCTTCTGGAAATGATGAAAAGAACTTTGGGATTCTCTGCTTAAAAAGAGAGGGGGAAAAAAAGCTGTTTAGAAACAAACCCCATTCTTTTTATACTTGTTGCATTTATTTTGGGACAATAAGGTATCATAAGCTTCCTCCAGCTTTTTGGCAGAGATGCTGTCTCATCCAGACAGCCTGATTCATTGCTGTAGGTGTCTGTTGAAGGTACTGACTTGTTTTTCCTTACTCCCAGCTTGGCACAACAGCTCTGATGGTAGCCTCTTACTATGGCCACATAGATTGTGTACGGGAATTGGTGTTGCAAGGAGCAGATATCAATCTGCAGAGAGAGGTAGGATTCAAACAGGGCTTGATTAAGTGACTGTTGGTTTGTTACAAATAATAAGAGTGTTGTCTGCTGCTTGTTGCCAGTTGTTTCTTTGTCACTTGCTGTATAGTGTATTTATAACATGTATAACGGGTTCCGTTCCGAGGACATCAGGGAATCAGATATCTGGGGTTTACAATAGAAAATCAGATGCCAGAGGTACATTTATAACAACATATCAAGCATCTTCAGCACATCTGGTTGGTGAGGGTCAGTTACATCTGGGATGTAACCCCCCCCAGAGTTATTCCATTTATGTGTTTGCAGGTTTACTTTTTGGCACAACAGTTTACAGATCTCCAGATGGGATAAATAATAAGAAGACCTTTACCTTTGATTTGCAGCCTGGTCATTAAAACAGAATGGATGCCATTGCTAGCAGAAGGATTTTTTTTCATTTTGTATGTTTTGGAGTTTCTGCCTTTTAGTCTGAGCCAACTCATCTCTAGCAGTCGCACAGCTTTATCACCCATACCCTTTCCTGCATCTCTGCTTGGCATTCAAGAATTGTCTTGCACCATGACATCAGCATGGAAGGGACATCAGCAACTGATTTTTTTGGGACATTGCCTTTCACTCATATTCCATGCAGGCAGTTGTAAGGATTGCAGTTGCTCTGGTCTGCGTGTTGGCTGTGCAAAGAGCAGAATTGTTGTGGGACAACCATTGGTTTTAAGAGAAGAACAGTTTAAAGAGGGCATGAAGCTACATGGGATGGGGCAGGCCATGCAATGGTGGCAGGACAGCAGTGTGCTCATTGCTCAAATGGTACAAGCCAAGGTTTCTTACTTTCTTTGGTTACCTGGAACCAAAGCATTAATCTCATGCTGACATCTGCAAGTTACTGAGTCAGTGAATGCCCTGTTTGATGATGTAGGTGTCTTTGCACTTACTGGCCTAAACTTGCTCTAACCATGATTGTCGGTGTCTTTCAGTGGGGTCCTGTTCGAACAAAACATGTACTTAAATATGTCCCTTCCCTTAGGTAAACATTGCTTGGAAAGAAGCAACAAAAGAAAAAGTTAAGAACACTTTTATGGAGCTGCTCTTGATTATCACTCAGGAAATACTGATTCAACAAGCCAACAAAAAGGAAAAACACTGAAAGCCTCCAAAATCACTCTGTTGCAGAAAGGGAGCAAAACAGATGAAGTTTAAGTGCTAAAGACCAATGGCACTGTTCTGCAACTAAATGGTGTTACTCCAACCAGTGCTCTTGTTCTCTAAAGTTGCTGTAAAGCTCAGGGAAGTGAGAGTCCCATAAATGTGGCCAGGAGAGTGGGCTCTGAAATTATCTAAGTGGGGCCATATGCTATTGTAAAGGCTTTGGGCACTGGAGTGAATTTCACATCTAGCTCCCAATTCCTGTACTTTCTACATGGGGTAAGAGAGCCCAAAGTAAGAAAAGCCTGCATCTATCTCCCTTCCTTCCCTTCCTTCCTTCCTTTCCTCCCCTCCCTCCCAAATGTATGGTGCTGGACAGATTTTTCAGTGCAATGGGAAGAAGACTGAGTTAGGATACCTGGTGTCCTCTGGAGTCTTCAAATTCATCATGTCTTTTCAGCTGATATTCAACTGATTGAGCTCAATACTTTTTAATTTGAAATGTCTGTACTTCAGTCAAGTGTGTTATGTGTTTGTTACTATTTTAATGCATTTTTCCTTTACAGTCAGGTGCAACTTCTCTGTTCTTTGCTGCACAGCAAGGCCACAATGATGTAGTGAAGTTTCTCTTTTCATTTGGAGCCTCCACTGAATTTAAGAATAAAGTAAGATGATGGGTCTATTTTTGCATGCTGATACACTCTGACAGTCAAGGCTGGGTTTTTGTATTCACATGAAACATGACAGGGAAGTGTTAAGATGATGAAATTTCCTCATGTGAACATTTTTGAGTAATACAACACATGGTGATATATTAACTTTAGACTAGATTTTCATACCTAGACTTAATGACATAAATTCATCAAGGTCCCTTGACAGTGATATCAGTCTTTCTTCATAAATTATCCTCCAGTACAGGATCAAAGGGTCTCTTTGCACATACCAGGTAGGATCCTGATTTAGGTGTTTATGTACTCTGGTTGCATAGAACTTACATTTCATCAACGTTGGAATGTCCCTGCATGCCACCATTAGATACATAAGAATATAATGCCTTCATTTCCCCCTAAATTCCCACCTTCCCATCTGGGACGAGAAGATGAAATGCACCTCAGAGTTTTTATTTCTTTGTTCAGGCAGGTCCTTTTCCAAAATCTTGTTAGAATCAATTTCTCAAGATATTTTAGTCAGTGATTTGAATGATTCTCTCAACCCATACCAGTTTTCTGGAGTCCCTGGAAATACAGGCTCTAAATACAAGGGAATTGATGGAACATCAGAAACTCAGCTCCTTATGCTCCAGGGGCTACAAATCCTGTTGTTTTGTGACCAGAGTTCACACATGCCCATTGAGTAGGATTCTGATACCCCAGGGAGCTGTGCTTGTGGTGAGCAACTCTCTGACCGCAGCAGCAGCCAGTAATAAAAGCATGAATGAAATTGTGGCTGTTTAGCACAACATGGAGTGCAGCTGTGAAAGTTGGCAGTGCAGGAGGTTGCAGTGTTAAATACAACAGCTGTATCTTACAGTGCTGGATAATCGCATGTGGGACAAATTTCTTGGGAAAGGTTGCACATTAAAATAAATTACTTTTATCTCAGGATATGGGTGGGGGTTAGCAAGATTCAGAGGGGTCATCTTCCCTTGCAATCAGCTGGCAAGTCAGAGGCTCAGTACCTCAGTACCTCATTCTAGAAAGACATCTTCAAGTTAGTTGAAGTTACATCTTCACTCAGTCTTTCCACAGCCTGCAAACTAGGAGTCTGTGAAGAGACCAAGATTTGATCCAGGAGGTGAACAGCAGGCTTGAAATTGTCTGATCCTTCATTGCAATATACAATCTTTTATGAAGCATGCAAAATATATTGATGTGAAACACTAGGACAGATAAAAGAGAGCAAAAATCTAAATTATAAAAGAATATTCCTATGTCCAGCTGCTCCAAATGGCTTCCATCTTTGGACAAATGCAAGTTTCGGGTCTACTGTTGCTCACCTTGCAAATTTCATTCCAGACCCTCTTTTCCTGCCTGACCCTGCTTCTGAACCCAGACCTGACTTGGCCCATATGCCAGTCCCGAGTATCTTTTAAGCTGCTGGTTGCTCTTCCTCTCCAGGCCACAGCTTTCTGATGCATCCAGACAAGCTGGTTGAAAGATATCACCAGCTCCCAATGGGTGTAACATGGGAAGCTGGTGTGTGATGTGTGTGTGAGATGATTTTCCAGCAGCATCACCCAGCGTGTGCCTGGGCAGGAGGCACCAGTCAGGTGTAGTGCGTGGACAGTCCATATCTTCAATCTTCTGATTTAATAATGTGGTTTTCGTAGCTTGGAATAATTCCATTATTCTCTTAACAGGTGACCAAGGTGACAGGCTCCTCTATCCCTCCCAAACCCCAGAAACAATATAATTGATAAAATACACCTTTTCAGGTTAGGGACAAGGCGTTTTCTCAGTAGGACACTCATTTGGGAGCACCACTGGAAAAGATACAGCTGATCCTGCTTTTAAAGGGCAGTGCAAAATTAATCCCTTTGCAAAGAATATGTATATTTCTATTATAAATTACTACATGAATTTGGAATAAGCACACAAATTGAATGCATCCTAGAAAACAGAGACTTAACTAAGGAAATGCAAAGCCCAACATCTTTTTCATGTACTTATCTGTAAACTGTGATTACTACATTTGTTACTCATATATGAGAATTCTGGAGATACAGGCATGCAATTCTTGTTAAGCCTTGTATCGTTAGAATTGTATTTGCTATGGCAGGCAAAGTAAAACTATTCTAAAATACTGTAATAAAGTAATTTGCAATAAATGCTGATGTTCTAAAGAGAATGAATAGTACTATTGAAGGTTAATGATTACATAATTATTACATACAATATTATTCATTCATATTATTCTGCACTGTCCCAGTCTGACATCCATATAAATATTTAACATAGGTTGAATTTTTCTTTCCTTTATTCTGATAGATGTGATTAGCATGTGAGATCTTTAAAAGCATGGTGGCACGTTTTCCAAGCAGTACTGCGGGTTGAGCAGTGTGTCAGAGGCTGTTTTTCAGCAGGCAGTGATTGCAGAAGATCAGTTCTCATCCTCTGTACTGCCTTTAAGAGATGGTTAAACAAGGTACAATTCTAAGCTGTTTCAGGTGTTGATGACAGAAGAAAGGGGTCAGCAAATAGAGAAGTCTGCACCACTTAGTGTGGTCTTACCCAGTACTGCTGTTCCAAGTATTTTCACGGCAGATCAGCAGCTGCTGTTACGTGCTGACAGTGAGGAGGGCAGACCCTGGGGAGGGCAGAAAAATAGTTTCAGGGGAAGAATTGCAGAGGTAGCTGAGAAAAGTCCAGCTCCTATCTGAGCTGGAAATATTTGCAGTGCAGGATTAATAGAAGCTTCATTGTGTCAGGAAAACAGGATATGAGCAAGAAGTGAACCCAAGGCAATGTGCCATCTCCAAGAGGTTGCACAGTGGCCTCCTGCCCACTACAGAAGGGGTGATAGCCCTAGGAGCCCCTCAGTGCTTGCTCACATGGCCAGCTCCCATTTGCTGCCCTGCTCAGAGTTTCCAAGAGGCTTGCCAGTACCAAAGACGCTGCTTCAGCCTTTTACTTACCTTAGCTGAAGCCAAAAAGGAAAGAGGTAATCACATGTCTGAAAGGGATGTTAAAACTCCATCATTTAATTTTTTTTTTTAATTCCCCACAACTTATCTGCATTCCCTATGGTCTGTAAAGCATTGGGGGTCTTCAGCTAGAGCTTGCTGGTGTAAAGTGTAAGAGAAAACCAGATGGAAGCTCAAGGCAAGAGGAGGACTGAGTAATAAACCATTGCACTGTTTGACAATTCCTTGATTTAACTAAGTGCTGTCTTATCACATGGTCAGTGAAAAAGTTTCCTGCCGCCAGCTTCCCTTTCTTACAGAAAGATGTAAATCTAATTTTTCACAGTGGTGCCCCCAGCTCAGAACATGCAGAGGAATCCCAATCCCTTCTGTTGAATGTGTTCAGCTTTATATATCAGACAGACAGTAGAGCAGGTCTTAGAGCTCAGTTGTCCTCCTGATCAGGGACCAGGTCTTTGAGCCCAGGAATTGTTACCCACTTCTCTCTGCCTCAGTAAATATTTGATTCAGAGTGGACAGATGAAACTGGGGACCATCCAATGATCCTCTTCTAACCCCTGGACTCTGATCAGACTGATCTAGGAAAACTTGGTCACTTTAGTCTGAAAGATCCAATTGGCATATTTTGGAATTGTGTTACTCTTGCAAAGAAAAAAAGAATTTGTCTAAAACTGTTCACTGGGTTGAACCAAACACTTGGTCAGGAACCCCTTTTTGAATTAATTAGACATATATTGAGAGAATGTTGCCATTCTTAAACCCCAAGCTGTCACATCTCCCCAGGTGGGATCACACATTGGGATTCCAAGTGTTGCGCTTCAGCTCTGCTGTGCTAGCTGGGGTTAGCTCTGCAGGCCTGCTTTTTATTTGGGACCTGTCACTTGGTTCCCTACGGAAATTATGATAATAACCAAACAATATTCTAAAAATAACAGGAGTTTATGGAGAAAACAAGAATTTTAGAAAACAAAAGCCTGACCATAAAGTAGCAAACAACCTTTTCCCAGATGCAACCAACTGAGCATGTCTATTTACCATCCATACATGGAACTTTAATATTTTTAAGCTTCCTAAAACTTTTCCTTCCATACCTCTCCACAGAGAACCTTCAGTCTGGATAGCATAGTTTCTCTTCTTGATTCACTAACCTTTCTCTCTCAACACTGTTCAGGGAAAATGTCTTTAAAAATTTCTCTGGGTTTTTTTGTTTTGTTTTGTTTTGTTTATAGCCCTTTGATCCAGTAAATCACCCCTTGAACAAAGTGGCTTTCACTTGGCTGGAGAGAGGAAATAGGTTACATGAAGCTATTAGCTTTTCCATTGTCTTTTAAGTGTGTATAAGGTGTTTTTTAATCCAAGAACAATTGTTATTGCTTTTGTGTTTTGTTCCAGCAGTTCCCATTAAGTTACAGTAGTTTAATTTGGCAGGAAAGTCTAATTTCTCATAAGAGAAACTTAACTCCACTGACCTGATTACACACTGTACTTAGTCAAATAATCCAGAATTAATAGGCAATTAATAGGTTGTCACACAACAGCCTCACATCTCTGGCTTTGCTGACACCCAAGCCTTCTTTTCTTTTCAATGTTGTGGCAGTTTTGGGGGTAGCTATAAACAGTGTCTGAGGGTTAGTTCAGTCATGTCAGAGCTTGAATTTTCACCAGGCTATTACAGCCATGAAATTGCACCATTGATTAATAAATTTGATTGGCACTTCTCATTATAAAAGATACATTTGGTCACTCAAGATGCAACTTCTGTTGTGGATATCTGTCTGTGTGGAAAATTTCAGACAACTTTGGGGTTGTTTCAGAGAAGAAGTCTAGGCCAAAGCACAGTTTTGTGTCCACATTAATAGCAGCTCTAGAAACCATTTAGATTAAATATTTTAGATTATTTTGTGAAGGAGAGGCTTGAGACTGGGAGAAGGCTAGGGAGGAGAGTGAAGACCTGTGGTGGGAGCATTTTGGGGTGTGCATCATCTTTGCACTGTGGCCTGGTGCCATCCCAGGCAGATGACAAGAACTTTCTCTGCATAGCTGTGTCTGAAATACTGGTAATTTCTGAGCGGGGCACAGCACAGTTTAAGATGGCAAGACCCACGTTTGTTGTCTCAGTTGTTTGAGCTGGTTGGAGTCAATCACCATTGACACTGAGGTGTTTCCCTTCTCAGCTGGCTCCCAAGGGAACGTTTCTACAAGGAGGTTTGATGCATGTGCCTAGGTCTCCCTTTAGTGGTGATGTGGAGTAACTCTAGCTGCCTGGGATTGATCCCACTTGCAGGGATCGCTTCTCAGCACAGCAGTAACAATGCTTTCACTGGTGGTCATGCCTGTGGTCAGACTCACACTTTCACAGTCAGCTACCACACTTTAAAATGCCTCCTCTCTGCTCAGCTTCAGGCCAACAAGCCACCGATGAGAGGCAGGACAAAACAGGGCACAAGGTTCTGGCCAAAGAAGAGCAGATGATCAACAGACTCTGGAGCAGTGGAAAGGTGTGCTGTCCTTCCATTGGTGGAAGAGTTTGGCAGGCATGAGGAATTTGGCTGTAAAAGGAAGAAACGTGGAGGAGCTTGAAGCTGTGAAAGGAACAAAGCTTCTAATGACAAGGCAGAAGATGAGGAACGCAAAACAGAATTTTCTTCATTCCTTTCCCTCCCTAAAAAAACTCAGGAGAAAAATTTATATAATGACTGAGCCAAGTTGAAAGATTTACATGTCAACACTTGGCATTAAAGTCATGAAAGATTCAGTAGCTACTCATCACAGAACTGCTGTGGGCCAAATTCTGAAAAGTCTTAAAGTTTGGCTCTTTTTTTTTTTATGGTGAAGTTCAGCCCAGCATCTGACCTCTCACCTGACTGTACCCATTCTTTTTTGTTTTCACAGGATGGAGGCACAGCTCTGCTGGCTGCCTGTCAGTACGGGCATGCAAAAGTAGTGGAAACTCTGCTGAAGCACGGCGCCAACATTCATGATCAACTCTATGTGAGTTATTTGACGCACACAATATTGACAATGGTGGTGGTGGAACAAATGTGCTGTTGCTTGGACAACAGCAGACATCCTGGCTCCAGCACAGACAGGCATTTGCCAAACACTGCAGTTTTATAGTACTCTGTTCCTCTAAGATGTGGATTTTGTTAACTGTCTGCTTTTTGTGATGCTGAGAGAAGTAGCACAAAATCAGAAAAGATTCTTTGGCTGTCTTTTGGTTCATGATCTGTATGGAGGATATGTACCAAATATGGAACAGACTTGTGCTACCCATTAGCCTTGGATGAAAAAGCATGTCATGTTCTACCATGATTTGCAGGAGAGTGAATAGCTCTAGAGCCTCTGAAGTACATTAGTTTTCTGCCAGAAAGAATAGCAAAATTTAAAAATTTTAAATTACATCAAAGCATTTTTTTTAAAATATCAATTAAAATGATGCTATTTGGTATTTGTGAATCTCCAGTTTGCCAGTGTTTTGGGCAAAGTAAGGTTAAAGTGGCTGAACTGATGTTGTTTAGTTGACTTTTCTGAAAGTTGGATTGTACCAATGAAGCTCTGGATTTAATTTACTCCAACAGAGACATAGATAAGTTGAGCTTTTCGGCATTCAACAGAAACAAGTAGCAGATTTTGCTTTTGCTTCCCACCCCACTCTTTCCTACCCCAGGGCACTCAAGACTGACAAAGAGGAAGTTGTTTCTCTGAGATATATGAGTTCTTTCAGCTGTTTCCATTGGCTTTGGATCTGCAGGATGCTCTTGCACTCCCTGCTGGCTTGCAGGGGAGCTGAGAGCTGGTGACTACAGAAGTGGTCATAGGGGGATCCCCACCTCAGTGTTGCCTCACCCCTCATTTATACATAAGGTAGTTCTACCCTTGCTGTTGTGCAAATTGTCTTTCTGATCTGAGGGCAGTGATTCATCCCTTTACAGGGTAATCCCAGGGGCTGCCACTCAGTTTAAAAATAGCTATGCTGCCACACCTGCAGACTCTTACCCAGAGGTCAAGGCAGTAAAATAACTTCCTTGTTGTCTCTGCTGGAGATGAGCAATATTTGCAATTGGATTTTAAAATGTACTTTTATTGCTCACAGACATTGGGCAAAGCCAGCAGAAATAGTTGTGTAACAAAATAAGAATATGATCTCTTGAAAAAAAGTGTTGTCTAGCTCGTTCTATGGGCCAAGCTGCATTTGTCAAGTGGTATCTGGATGGCAGTTTCACTGGCAGCCAAAAGGGAGAGATTTTGCACATACATTTGGATACTCCTCCCAAAACCATCAAGATTGATGTTTTAATCTTCAATTGACTCATGTGAGGGGTCAGGAGAGCAAGAGACAAAAGAATACTCTAACTAAATAGTATTTCTTGCAAAAATGCTTTGTAGCCTCAAAACAGCATTCTCATTACAGCATCCATTCAAATCAAATAGGTGTCAGTGAATGCAAGGTTCTCCATCTTGATTGTTCCTATAATAAAGAGCTTTTTTTATATTACACAGGCTTGTTTACTTTCTAAACTGAAGTGTTCTCTGGCTCTGGAGGAGAGTGTTCTCTGGCTCTGGTACTGCCAGGTTTTTTCAACTACTCATACAGCAACCAGAGAAAACAGCCCATCAGAGGGCCCAGGGACAGGCATTAATAATTCCAGCAGAGACCTCTTTTGTTTACCAGGACATTTGTCTTGAAATCAATGTCAAACATCCTAAATTCAGTCCCTGGGGCACTATATTCACCTCATGCTTCACCAAGTCTGTGCTGAGTTTTTCAGCTGGAGGAGTAGCTGCACACGCTCTCTCTGCAGACAACAGCTTTTAGTCCCAACATAGTGATATGCCAACAAGGTCAACAGCAGGCTTCCACTAAAATGCCCTGTATTTTGTGATCAGCACCTGCCTGAGTTGTCTTGAGAGGTGTACTTGCACATCTGAGATGCAGTATAGGAGTTAATTCCCGTCTCTATTCAAACGAAAAGATTCTCACCTCCTGGGAAAACTTGTCCTAGCACATCCTGTGCTTAGTGCTGTGGATGTAGGGTGGGTAAACACCTGTCCCACCCTCAATACAGATTTCTACTTATAGTTGGTTAGATGGATTATAATGCTGTTTGAAAATGTTCCATCAAAAACACTTAATGAAATATGACTTTCAATTTTTTTTCCTATGGAAGGGGTTTCTCTGAAGTAAAATTCTGAGGATATCTGCATATGAAAGACATGTCAAAGAAAAATACAACACTGTATTTGTTCACAATTTATTCTTTCACAAGCTTTTTGCAGGAAAATTCTGGTTTCTGATATGGCTACTAAATACTTTTAGATTACTATATTACAGGTGAAGGCTCTTCTACAAGATGTGCCAGAGCAGAAGCATGGTGGTTTCTGAAGTGGCACAGCAGTATGGCACAGGCCTTACTCGTTCAGCCTCAAGGGCAGCCTTCAGTGCTGGGGTCTGTAATCTTGCAAAGTACCTGACATGTCTCCACCATGTAGCAGAACACTTCTGCATGATCATATAAAAGCTAAATGAACCTGTATTGCTGTACAGGAGCTAATTTCTAATTATGTAGCTCAATGCCTCAAAATATAGTAAAACAAAGCAACCCTGACGAGGGGGAGAAAGGATGAGGAGGTCTCCATTTATATCAAAAGGCTAATTAAATACTTTATTATACTATATTATTCTATTCTACATCACTCTATCTTTATTATACTATATTATTCTATTCTACATTAGACTATATTACATTACATCTAAATTGAATCTGCCAGGCACTGAACTGCACAGAATCTCGTGACTGTCAGCCAACAGTCCCAACACACACACACGTGCTTGGCCCTGACAGGCCAAGGAAACAAAACACCATCACTTTGGGTAAACAATCTCCATATTGCATTCTACTTTGGCACAACATAGGCACAGCAAATGAGATAAGAATTGCTTTGATCATTCTTTTTTTTGCTTCTCCCAGGTTCAGAGGATGCAAATCCCACATCAAAGGACTAGACTCTTAGTATTCCAGACACAGGATTTAATGCTGGATTTGAAATATGATGGGAGCCAGTATTTGTGCATACTGAATGAAAATGACGCCACAGTTTATTATGAACTGGACTTTGCATTTTGGTAGTTATTTCTTGAGCATGGCTGTATATCTGCTGTTACAAAGCATAATGACTAAAGACTGAGAACTTAATTCAATTTGATTTGGTTTTGTGTGGAAAAATGGCATCACTTCAATGCAGTGTAAGACTGATGTGTTTGTTCTTAGGATGGAGCTTCTGCAATTTTCCTGGCGGCACAAGGAGGATATCTGGATGTCATCCGATTGCTGCTTTCTTCAGGAGCAAAAGTCAACCAGCCACGACAGGTATGAGCAACACTTCAGGGCAGAGCTGGGTTCTAATTTTACAGTTATGAAAATGAACACTGGAATTTTCTCCAGACATTGGTTCCTGTGGAGCTGTTTCATTGGAAGGCAGTTTGTGGCTGTGTCAACATTCTGGGTAACATGATTTTGTGGTAACATGATTTTAAAGTCAATACCTAAGTCATTTCTGAAAGAATTGAAACTGAAAGCTCTGCTCCACATCTACACATTACAGCCTGTGAGCCACCATCCCTGGAGGTTTTTAAAAGACAGTGTAGATGTGGCACTTGGGCACATGGTTTGGTGGTGGACTTGGCAGTGCTGGGTTAATGGTTGGACTCAGAGGTCTTTTCCAGCCTAAAGGATGCTATGATTCTAGAGCAGAACAAACCACTGACTGCTCCTTTAAACGGGTTAGAACCACACGCATCCTCCATCCAGTATGGAATGTTGATGTAAGGGTCTTGCACTGCCTCTTGCAACTACCAATCTGTTTGTGTTGTACATTACTTTTGAGGGTCTACACAGCCTACAATATCCCTGAGTCCTTTTGAAAATTATTTGAAAAGCTTTTGAAAATCTAGGCACTCTGGGAGGAGGCAGTACTAAATTTGAAATCTCCAGACCTTCGGATGTGGCTTTGGTGTCAAAGTTCATCTTTGACAAGTCCTTTTATTTTTAGTTTAACTTTTGTTTATTTGTTTGTTTTACTTTGTGTCATTTCTGTGCACTCTGAAATTCAAGCATGAGTTTTGCCTTCATCTCTGGAAGTTCTTGATACATATGGAAAGCTTTTCTCCCCATTTTCAGCTAGTCACTCTAGTGGGCCTGATGTTGCTAACGCATACAACCAGTGGCAGCTGTAACCATGAAATTAGCTCCTCTGCAAGCAGTAGGGCTGCTGTTTGATCATTAAATGGGAAGTGTGAGCTAGATTTGTGGCTGGTTCAGAGATTCCTGATGGAAGGTCAGGGGCTGGGTCCACTGTGCATCACTGGATGGTGGAGTTAGGTGAGGGTGCAAGGGGCTTTCTAGGTTTTAAAACTGTGAGATAGGTAAACATAGGTGGTATACAGAGACATGTATGAAAGCTCTCTTGCTTTCCAAATAAAAGGGTTTCTTAACTGTTTAGCTGTTTCTTGACTCTAAAATCAGCACCTAAACAGCTAGAGGTGGAGTTGCACAGCTAGCTTTACACACAGCACATAGAAATGTCTGGTTAGAGATGGAGCTTCTCAGGAATCTCTACCTGCTTGAAGAGACCCTTGCCTGTGTTCTGCTGAAAGCCTGCAGGCAAGGTAGCTGTTCTGGGTCTTCACTGCACATTTGAAATTGATGGGATAAGGTCTTGTCCTTGTAATTAGTCATGCATGTCAGCCAGGTGGCTGTGATCACTGACTGCAGCAAGCGAAAAAGCAGCAGGCAAGAGCAAATGAGTGTGAAAACTCTAATTACAGTGGACAACGTGGCATGAGACAAGCTCTGCCAGGTATTTGCAGTATTTCCTTTCATCTGCACCAAAAGCCTGACAAATCATAGCCTGGCAACAGACACTGATCTATATGCTTCTGCGTGTGTAGGTCTTTGTACACTCCTCGCTGTGGAAAAAGGATTAGTATTTTAAGGGCCTTAACTGAAACAGTTTTCCTGCTGCCCCTAGCCCCACCTCTGAGTACCAGAGCTGTGCTGGCAGCTGGCCCCTGAATTGATGCATTAGCTGCTCCTAGGTTGCCTCCACACTGTCTCCCTAGAAAAAGCTTAAGAAATGTTAAAAGCTGTTAATTAAGTCTAAAGTTTCAATGTAGAAGGAGGGACCAAGGTATGCATTAATGCCTTTTGAGTAAGTCAAAATAGGCTTGGGGATCTTTAGATCTGGCTGAACCCTGTTGCCATTAAAACTGCTTTCTGTATCTGTAATTATAATGCAGCTAATTCTTTCTGACATTATTTTTTTAGCTCTCTAATCCAATTTCTACAGCACAATGTTTCACGAGGCATTTTTAAATCTTAGTTGAGGCAAAGACTAGTCTCTGTGTGAATGCTCCTCCTGGCTCCTCTGTTTCATCTCCAGCAGGACAGACCTTCCTTGCTTGAGGGTACCTCCGATCCCTGCTAAGATTACGCCTGGATAAGTGCATGGCATTTGTATTTGGACCCACTGTAATCTGAAACATTTCCTTAACAAATGGAACATTTTTACTGTTTAATTAGTCAAGTAATGGTTGGATGGACTTCAGTCTGTTTCTTCCTAACAAATGGATTTGTGCTTTGCAAGAAGCGGGTGTGTTGGTCATGAGGAATGTAGCTCTAAAAGGAGCGGTTTCGATGCCAGACAACTCTCGCTCTCATTTACGAGCTACATTGCTCTCACTGTGGTAGAAAACTTTTCCAGGCAACATTACCTCAAATACAGGGCTGCAGGGTGCCAGGTGTGAGTTCATCTTCCCCTTCCTCATGGTGTCCAAGTTTTCCTCTCTACCTAGGGAATTTGGTGGCTTAAGCCACAGACCTGCACACACGTGTCTGCCTTCTATGTCTCCTGCTGCTGCTGTGGTGGGTACCAGTTCCCCCTCAGCCTGGTATCCCACCTCCCATCCCATGGGGGTATATCTGACACCACAGAGCATTTTGGATCGTCCTGGCTGTCCACGTGCAAGCCCTTCAGTTCTCACAAGACCAAATAGTGAAGCTTCCTGGAAAGTTTCTTCCCTGGCAATGTCCTTTCTCTTGGGTTGTAATTGCCTTCTGCTCTTGCCAAAATTGAGGAGCTGGGCAGGAATTCTTTTGTCATCTTTTTGTCTAGACAGAGCTGGGGGCAATGTCTGAAGCCTGCTACAGGAGGTGTTTTTATGCTTCTTCAACTTACAAAACAAAGCTGTAAGATTCTTTGCCAATGCTGTTTTGGAAGTCTGTGTCCCAACAGGCTTTATTCTGGCTGGATAAGCAGATTCAAAATAACCTGAAAATTAATGACTTTTTTCTTAGCACTTGATATGCAATTACACATACATGTAAGCCAGTAAAACCATACTTCAGCAAGCAAGAAATTTGCTATTGGCAAATTAGTTGTAGTAGTGCAAGTGGACTAATAGGCAGAGCAGTGGAGGATATGATACTGAGTAGCCTGAGAGTAGAGGTTGCCTGCCCCTGGAAATCTGAGGGCTCTTTCACCTCCCACCCTAATCTGACCTTTTCTAAAACTTTAAGCCATAAGCAAAAGTTGAGATTCAAAGCTGCAAGATGAAGTCATTGGTGAATGGGTAAGAGAAAGAACATTAATAATTTCAGTCAGAGTATATTTGGAACTTCTGGCTTCTGGATATATAAGGTGGTGTCCATATATACTAGCTTGTAACCAAATGTGGAAAAAAAGAGCACCTTACAAACATATGGCATATTTAAAATTATTCTAGGAATGTAGTGATCTGCAGTCTGCTGGCTGGGCAGAGGGACGAGGAAAGGAGAGTAGCTTTTGAACTGCATCTTTCCCTGTTCTCGCTTCCTTCCTGACTCATCTTCAAGCCCTAATATCTGTTTACACACGAATTCTCATGTGATCTCTTAGTATCTGCTTTGTGTCGTTCACCAACATGAAAATGGACAGAAAGCTCATCTACTCCATATAAATATCATAGATAATTGCATGAACCTGGTGCTAGATGCTAGATGCTGTTTGCTTAAGAGAAAGAAGCTGACCATAGTCAATGTGAGCCCATCATTATCTTCACTGTCTTTCTTCTCTTCAGGCTAAGTCCTTCAATGCAGTCACTCTTCCTTATAAAGTACTTTTATCTCTATCCTATAGCTGAGGTGCTGAGGATAATGTCTGACAGCAATACTATTAATGACAATTAATGGTAGCAGTTATATTACTCAACATTTGCCCCTCTTTTTGCTCCTTTTCATACCTGAAAATAGGGGTTGTTCCTACAAACTCACTGTGAGTAAACAAAAGCTGCTTTATTTCCTATGCTGAGCTTGTGATTTCATTGCTTGTGTAAATACAAGAGTGGATTTGCACAGCATTGGTTCTTCATGCAGATTAAATTGTGTAGGCTGCTCTCAGATATTTTCCAAGTTTTACAGGCTTTTTCAATGCAACAATTGCTATTTTCTAGAGCCCTCTGGTGGGGGGAGATTAGAAAAATATAAAGTGCCAGCTTACTGGTGGGGAAAACACTAAAATAAATAAATTGGAGAGGGACAGTTTTTGCCATCAAACTAGCATTACATACTCTGTATACAAGAGAGCCTTTGTTATTTTTGAATCACAAAGAACACTTGTATTTACAGGATATATACCAGAGTGAGTTCAGTCACTAATTTCAATGAGTTAATTTACAGAGAAATTATACAAGGGTGGGAAAAGATCTTGTTCTTCAACATTTGAGAAGCCTGAAGATCTCAGGATGTGCATTTGTTCCTTCTCAGAATCAGAAAAAGGGAAGCCCAGATTATTATTTCAAAAGAAGAAATAACTTTTCTGTTTCTTTCAAATTATTAATTCATTAGTCCATGAAAAGCAGAGAACTGATTCAACAATGTTTTCCTGAGTTGCATGAGCAAGTCATAGGAAAGTTCAGGTGGCGCTGGGAAGTGAGACTGTTTTTTTGACTAAGGTGGCAATATCTTATTTAATGTAAAAAGTTGATTTCTCCTGAAACTTCTCATTAAGGCTAGTTTTGAAGTCTTAGTTTAGTTTTTCTTCCTCTTTCAAGCCAAGCCTTCAGGCTCCAGAGGGTGGTGAGGGGAGCTGGCAAGCCCTAAAGGCAGAAGCAGGCACCCTGCTTTGTGGGGTCTCACTTCTGTGTTAAAGTCCAAACAGGCAAAGCCTTTTTTAAAGGCCCATGAAAATTAGTTTGGCACTGCATAACCGCTGGAGTCTGGAGAATCAGGCCATTTAGAATCAAAAACAGGAAAATACATAAAAACCCTAAATTCTACTTGCAGTGAGAAATACTTCTAGTGCTTCAACTCACTTTTGCCTTTGGGAGGGAAATCCATCTCAAAGTTTAGCTTACTCTGAATGTGCATTTTCTGAGGTTTTGTGTTCAAATAGGACTTTTCCAAAGCAGATTGTTTCATGCTGGATTCCTTGATAATTGCCTTGTTTTCTAGTGGAGTTTTGAAGATAAAATTTGTGAAATACTTACCTTCACCGTAAGGCAGGATGTTTTTGCCCAATTCCCTGAGGGTGGATAATGTAACTCAATACTGATAGTTAGTGATCACCTTGCATTGCTCCCTAGCTTCTGTAAACAACTTTCACTCCCTATGTGCAGGCACCCAGCTGCAGAATCTGCCTGTGCATGCTGAGGTTTGTCCTCTGTCCCATCTAATCACCTAGAGTTCAAAGTACACAGGATACCTTTAGCCCTTATGTTTCAAAATTCCCTGTGTATTTTAGGCATGGCTGGTGCCTTACTGGGCTTTAATTCACAGAGCAGTGCATATTTCTGGCAAACTATGCAAGATAAGGCAGTAAGAGGAGCTCTACTCCACAAACTGAAGCAGTCCTAACAATACCAACCTACCACATGAGTTTGGACACAGCTTTGCATTTGTCTCCTTGCAAGATTTGATTGAGTAATTGATATACATCAAATCCAGTAGGTTTGGGCAGTAAAATATCAGAGGGCACTGAAGTGAAGCCATCAGCAGTCATGTTTTGTTTGCAGGACGGGACAGCTCCCCTGTGGATTGCCTCGCAGATGGGTCACAGCGAAGTGGTGCGAGTGATGCTGCTCCGGGGAGCTGAGCGAGACGCCGCGCGGGATGTGAGTAGCGCTTCCTCCTGAGCTCTGTCTGCAGCTTAATGCCTCACTTGGGGGCTGTAAGTCTGCCTGGATGGAGGCTTGGTGCCTCCAGAGTCCATCCCGTTTGTCAGGTTGCGAAGTCCCACCACAGCTTTCCTTTTCCCTGTTGTGTCTGGGACAGCTTCCTGGAGGGACCTTCTGGAATAAGGGAATGGAAATGTCCACATAGTTGAGAGACAAAGATGATATATGGTGTCACTGGTTCATTTCATCCTGAAGTTTTCACTCACCAGAGAAACAATCCTCCAGGTACCCTAAAACCAGCAGCACATGCTGTGGAGGCGCTCCCTCAAAGGTGATGAGCAGAGGAGACTCTCCTCTCAGATGTGTGGGGAGAGCTGGCGTTTCCCTCCAGCTTTTTATTCCCCTCCAGCTTCCCCTGCAAGGGGAATGCAGGCAAGGCATTTTTGACATTCCTCTTTTTTTAAAGGATGGTACCACTGCTTTACTGAAGGCTGCCATTAAAGGCTACAACAATGTGATAGAAGAGTTGCTGAAATTCTCTCCCACCCTTGGCCTGCTGAAGGTTAGTAGTGAAACACAGACTTTTTAGGCACAACATAAGAAGACAAAGGGTCTGATGAAAAATCTGTCATTTATGACTACTCTAGTGGCAGATGATACAAGTTTGAGCTGAAAAAAGTCAAGAAAAAAAAATGTTTAGCCTTAATACCACTCACAAATCTTTTTAAACAAAACTGTGAATTTAATTATTTAATTCTTGGAATGAGGAAGCACATTGTATCACAGAAGAAATTCTGCTTTTTGTCACTCGATTTTATTTCTACTGTAAGTAGATTATTCTTGACTGTACAAATTTAACATTATACCCATCCTTCTATTGCATTTAGTCACCAAAATAGTGTTCTAAAAGATCTGTTGTGAGCAGATTCTCTACTTGATTTTGTTTTCCTCTGAATTCATAAGGTGACTTGAAAAATAACAGCTATTTGGAAGCTGCTTTTTAATGGCTGACCTAATTTTATGTGTCCATAAATCACATATTTTGATAGCCTCTGTGCATGCAAATGATTGGCAAACTTAATGTACTTGAAAATGTAGGTGGCATCAACTTAGTTATTAATTTTGAGTATGAAATAATTTCCACACATATTTGAACTGTCAGTTTGCAACCACAAACAAACAAAAGGCCAGCCATAAAAACCCCCACCTATCAGCTGCCTGACACTGAGGCCATTAATCATCAGAGAGAGAAGATAAAATGCACAGATGGCTTCCATTACTGCTTGTGCTTCTGTTTCACTTGTTAATGACTGATTTTGCCAGGCAGAAACAAGTGCTGTGTTCATGTCACCTCTGATCTATTGCCAAGGCTGATTATTAAAAGGAAATACTGCTGTGGTAACGTGAACTTGACTCTCATTTTTATTAAAGCATTTGAAATCACGTCCTTCACATCCCACTCGGGGCTGCCAGCACCCTAACTCAGACCCTGTGCCTTTGATGACCTAGTCTCTCCCATGTTACTTCTTTCTCACTCGTAGGTCTGTTCTTTACAAGCCTTTTGTTTCACTGCCTTTTGCTTTTCTTCCCATGCATGGTGCAAACACCTCCACTGGCATTCCCTAGAATGGCACCTCTGCTCTCCATGCAGCCGTCCTGAGTGGCAATGTGAGGACAGTGGCACTGCTCCTTGAGGCAGGAGCAGATCCATGCCTGAGGAACAAGGTAGGTCCTGGCTCACCATCATGTGTGCCATCGAGGTGGGGCAGCCCATGTTTCTATGTAGAATTCAGGGCATTGCCCATACAAGAAAAAAAGAATAAAAAAATCCCAATTTACATGCACCTTTCCCATATCTTACATAGATCTGTTAGGGTTATTTATTAGTTTTGCATTCTTTTGATAGCAGCAATTTTTCTATAGAAAACTTACCACAGTTTTATCCCGTGAAGTGTTTTAACATTACATGCTTAATTATTCTGTGAATATGTCTTCTTCTGACATGTTTCTGAACTATTTGCTACGAGGGTTTGATATGGGTTTGTTAAGCTGTAAATGAATAGTCTGGCATTGACTTCTGCGTGAGTGAAAGTTTGTAAAACAAGTAATCCAGGACATATGTTGTAAATATTTTGGTCATTTAATATAAAATTTCTGGCTTTTAATTTCTGCATCATTCCACTTGATGGCAGCACAGTTAATGTCACTCACACAGTAGTCTCTGTTAATAGACATTTTGGGTTTATAATATAACCCGAAAATGCACAAGGTTTTTTTGCCACTGATAATGATCTACAGCAGCAGGGGTGTGCAGTAGAAGAAAGTGTGTGGCTGAAACTCTCCTACTGATTTCTTTTTTTTAGCTTTTGTAAACAACATGCCATTTGGCATGACAGAGTATATTTGCAGGACAGAATTATTGATTTTCTGAAGCAGCTTCATCATAAATGCTTTGTGTTACCAAAATTGTATTCAAGAAATAAAAAAAGCAATAACAAGCTCATGTTCTATTACCAACCTTACAGCATAACACAATTTTAAGTCACTCCTTGGAGTTTTATGGACATTAGTACATAAGGACCTGCCCCATCTCCCCCAAAAAGTCAGCAGCTATGCTCTCCTTTACTTCTGCAGCAGAAGCATAGGGAACCCAAGGGCATTTACCTGGACAATCAGCACAAAATAAGCTCACTCAAATTCCATTCTGGGATTGTTTTGAAGACTTAAATGAGACTTGAACACTGAAAGATGGTTTCCTAAGGTATCTTCAACAGTGGTGGAGACAACACTAGAAAAAACCCACGTCATTATAATGACCAGTACGATCTTCTCTAGAGTGTAATGCTTTCAATCATGATTGGGAAATACTCTTTCATTTCTGCTAACCTCAAGGGTTTCTTGTTCCAGGCAAATGAATTGCCAGCAGAACTAACAAAAAATGAACGCATCCTCCGACTCCTCCGTGCAAAGGAAAAGCAAAGGAAAAGCTAATGCATCCCTACGGCAGATGCAGTTTGACAGAGATGTGCCCTGACCACAAGTAGCATGACAGTAATCCTAGGTTGGAACAGTTTGCAGAACTGATTAGCCTGTCCAGTACACGCTCCCTGAACGCACCAGGCCCTTGCCACAGGGTCACCACGGGCTGGAGCCTCCGCCCGCATCGCTGAACGCGGGACCGTGACGAGAGCAGGGGCTGGCCCAGGAGCTGCCTCTGCACCACAGCCCTTCCTGTCCTCCACACCCCACCGATCCCAGCACCCACGTTTGCTCCCCACTCCACCCGGCACAGGCAAGCACCCCTGCTGCTTCAGACACGTGTCTCCACGCCGTCATGGCCACACAGCCGTGACAGCGTGCGTAGGGAGCACTCGGCCCTTGTGCCAGAAGGATACCCGGACCTTGCAGCTGTTGGGATTCAGTTGGCCATGGAGCAGCCCCATGACTCCCCTGCCCTCCCTTTGCTGACAGTGACCATTCCTCTGTGCCTCCAAGTGCCATGTGAGACTAGAGGTGAGATGCTGCCTGAGCCATCACAACAGCAAAAGTTCTCCTGTCAGCCCAGGGGTGAGGTAACATTTTTGCTACTACATGAAGCTCCATAAAAATGATCAAGAGTATTGCAAGTGATGCCAAAAGCTACCAACCAAGAAAAAAGCAAGAGGAAGTCCTCTCAATTGCAGCATCTTGATCTGCCAATCTGTCCAGCAACAAAACACAATGGAAAAGTTTATTTTGAAATGCCTACACAGCTTATGGGGATCCTTCCCCAGCCCTGTGTGCATTTTTGTGGGGAGAGGAGGACTGGTTGCTGAGCAAACCAACAATGGCCAAAAGGGCATTTTTCCACAGGTGCAAGTGCATTAGAAACTCAGCTGTCAGGCACAACAAACCACACAGATGCTACACAAGTGGTATTTGTATGTTCTGCACGCAGATATGTGGCACTATGGTTTGGTACCCACAGCTACTATGCAAAGCACTCATTCCCCAGGTCTGTGGCAGGAGCTAAGGGAGAATTGCACAGTGTTCAGGTGTTTCAACAGTTGGTGAGAGGGTTACACCAGGGTAGCCATACCTGAACAGACCCACTAATTATTGCAGACATGGAAAATGAAGTTTGAACAGCAGTTTTGGCCTTTATTGTGGTTAAGACACTTAGACATGCTACTCGTGCCTGTGTGGGGAAGGCAGTGCAAATTGCAGGTGGCTTGTGAGCAGCTATGTTTTAACCATATTGCTCTAAGACACCCCATTAAAACCCAGTCATTTCTGGAGTATAAACAGTATATACCATGTCCTGTTAGCCACAAAAACATTAGATTAATTTACAGTGAGTTGAGTTAAAAAGTTAGTTCAGTACATAAATCCAGGCATTTCACCCGCTTTCAAACCTTGGCAAATTATTGAATTGCTTTAAAAGTTGAAGACAAGGAAGATTGTAAGGACACAAAATAATTCTTGCTTAAGAAATGTCTGCCTATGTTTCAGCTGAACTGCTGCATTTGTGCTTTGGTGAGTTAAAAGGAAATCTATAAGTGAGCTAACACAAATGAATGTAGTTTATGTATTGCAAATTAGCCATGTGAATTATCAAATTACAAAGTTATTCTTTTTGTGAGTAAGTTAGGTAAGAAGTCAGTGTTCGGTGAAGAGAACAGAACCGGGTGTACCTTTTCTTGCATGCTGGAATTCCTATTCAATTTCTATTCTGCATTAAATAGGAAAGCTTTAAGTTTTCCAACAATGTAATAAGAAAAAATTATTTGTTTAGGTAATTTATGCTGCTGTATTTTTAAATTAAAATAATGTTGTGCCTAACAGAAACTTGCAGGTGAACTGGTACAGAACCAAAGAATTATGCAAGATGCTTAAGGGATGACAGTATCCAGGTTTAAGTTCTGCAAGAGACTAAAAAATATTGAGCATGCAGAAATCTCAAGAGCCTTATTTGTGTCTTAAATTGCACAGCATTACAAGGGACTGCACTCTAACTTCTTTAACAAACAGTACTGGAGAGGACATGTTTATTTGGAGCCTCCAGCGGGCTGAAGATGAGCATACTATTTTGGAGAACAGTAGAGGGACTCTGGGCAGCCTGGCCTCAATATTGAACTTTCACCCTAAATTTTCTACAGATCAACAATGGGCAACAACCACACTCTCAGTGAAAAGCCCTTTCATATTTGTAAAGGAGGTGAATAATCATTAGAAGGTCTTCAGTAGCTATGCAATAAATACTTACTATCAGACAGGCTGTAGTCCTCTTAAAAAAGGTGGAAGCATCCATTTTTGGTGAAGGTCTCCTATTTTTTCCTGATAGCAGAGCATAGGAGAGAGGACAAGGCAAGCCAGTGGTCCTGCAACAGCTGAAGTAAGAAAGCTGAGACAACAAATGCAGGTATCCAATATCTACAGATGGCCCTTCCTTTTTGCCAGGTGTATTTTCTTGGGAGAGTTGTCTTGTCCCAAAGAGACCAGTTACTCAGCAAAGAGCTTCTTCAACTATGCCTGTCCATGAGAAGATGCATGTCTGCTCCTCACCACTTAGAGTAGGACTTCCCAAGTCCTGTGTCCAGCTGCCTCTATGAATGGTCACTGCAGCTGGGGATCTCTTGAAACATGTGAAGAACACCTGGGTCCCTGTGTCCCACACAGCACATGAGCTGACCTTCTGAGACCTTCTGAGATGATGCAACTACTAGGTTTTTTGGTTAGGTTTTTTTTTTTTTTTTTTTTTTTTTTTGTGGGTTTTTTTTTTTTTTTTTTTTTGTTTTTTTGGGGGTTTTTTTTTTTTTTTTTTGGGTTTTTTTTTGTTTTTTTTTTTTTTTTTTGGTTTTGTGGGTTTTTTTTTGTTTTGTTTTGGGTTTTTTTTTTTGTTTTTTTGGGGTTTTTTTTTTGTTTTTTGGGGTTTTTTGAGTGATCTTGTGCTATAATGGGCTTTTCTTATTTCTGAGCAACATTTGAAATGTGGGGCTAGCACAGGTTAAAGGGAGAGATTTGTTGGTCTCTTCTTGCTCTTGTTAATGCTGGCAGATACAACACACAGGCTGTCTGGGGGGATCTGTCATGGAGAACTGGCACTGAAGTCTTTCTCTGTCTGATTCAGGCTGAAGTTGTATCTAGCTTCAGCAAAGACACTGTTCAACCAGAATGAGACTTCTGGCATGGAAACCTCCTTTTTGGGAGCATTTCTTTCATCTTGGAGCCTTTGGAGAGAGGGATGGTTTCAGTTTTGGGCTCCCTGTAACCCAGAGGTGCTTAATCTGCCTGTATATGGGCTCTCAATTTGCAATACTGTTAATCACCGTGCAATCAATGTTTTCACAAAGAAACCTTAATAATTATTAGTATTTATGTAGCTGTTGTTATCTTTAAAGTGTTCAGTAAATACTGCTGTGGTTTGTTTGTTGTATTAAAAAGGAAGCCCATTTTCCCTTGGTGGCTGAAGTAATTCACTAATACTGGCAGTTGTTCTTTGCATAGTTGTGGTGCCTTTTTGTGTAAGGTTTTCCAATTGCTCTACAGACTTTATTTATCTTTGTAAGTTCCAAAATGCATTGCTGAAGTAAGCAAGGAAGTAAATTATTTCATTCACAGACCAGTGAAACACAGTAGCTCTTCAGTTCATGTCAACAGAAAAGAGTAAATTTAGACATTTAGAAATTATGGGGCACTAAACTAATTTATCATAGATGACAGGATGAAGATAGGTATAATATAAAGATAGAAATAGAACTGGGACAGAATAACACAACAAATTTTTTTCCTGAGTTGGGTTTTGGGGTTTCTTTTCCCTTTAAAGCATCATATATATCTCCATCTTACACCCAAAACCAATAAGCTCCACTAGCACACTGATTTCAGGTTTGCTTCTCTGCACATTCAGAGCCAGAGGCTCAGCCTGCTATCCCCTCTACATTTATGCAGGTGCTGTTAGCCTGGTGACCTCCCATCAGCTGCAAGTGAGTACAAAGGATGTGTAACCAAGCAAAAGGCCACACCAACGAGTCAATGAAAAATATAGGGCATTTTTCTTCTATTTCACTGGTATCAAACTGCCACTGTAGATCGCATTTCAGGGGAATGAGGCACACTCTTTCAAGGAGAGAAAAAAAAAACTAAAGCTTTCCTTTTTTACACCCCTTTATACAGAGTTTTATAAACCCTCTCATGTCTATCTCCTCTTGGTTGGTAACAAGCTGTTACCCTATTGTAATTGGTCAGTCTTGGACAAGGTGTCTACATGCAAGAAAGGGTTGTTTGTGAGATACTGTTTTTATTCTTTTACTGAGACAGTTGGGATTATTGAATTAGGTGCAAGAAACTAGTCCTGATCTGTAGAATTCTTTTTTGCTGTTGCTTCTGTTTTCATGAAGAGCTGTTAGCTTTCCCATGGCTATCTTGAACCAAGACTCCATATGCAAGGCCTTATACAGGTCTGCTGTTTGTCACCACATCAAGCCATTGTGTCATAGGGATGAGCACAAGGAAAAGCCTGCAAGGTCTAGACAAAAGTGACATCCCAGCATAGACATAGTAGTGGTGGAAACTCAGAGGTTCCAAAATACATGGAGCTCTTCATTTAGATTATCACTGCAGTGCAGTGTGCAGGGACATCTATTCAGTAATGATACAAAAGGCAATATTGTTCCACTTGACTTGCACGTGCTTTTCTTCTCCTGGAACAAAACCATCTACTATTGATTCACCCACCTTTGTTTAGCTTAGAAGAGCTGAGAGAATTACAGCATGAGATCAAATAGCTGCAGGTTATATATAATGCTCCTTACAATGATGATTATCTGCCTCAGAGTCAGAGTTAATTGCAAGAATAATTCACACTTCCTTTTCCAGCCAGTCATACTGACTATTGGAAAAATCCACAAGTTAACCAAATCTGATGCCTCAGAAATTTCAGAATTGTACAGAAAACGAGGTAGCACAAACTCCAGCCCATTTGTACTTCATTTGATATAAGCACTGAACAG